AAGGAGACCGCTAGCTAGGTGATAACTTCTCACGGGGCGCACAGTTAGTAACCATTTTTAAAAGTAAAGCAACCGGAAGGCAGTACGTTCTTTATTCTGAAAATCTCAGGAGCTTCTCTCCATTTCCGCGTCCGATTTCCTGTCTTTTCTTCCCCAAAAATGTCGAACTTGACCCGTTTCAGAGGCGTCGCGTGTAGAAAATAGAACCGGCGCGTAAAGGCCGCGACATGCTGCTCCTGAGACGCGGCCGACTCGCGCTGCTGACGGCTCCGGTGGAAAAGGTTCTGTTGACCACGGCGGTTCCTATCAGCAGCTATGACGTGCTGCTGACGACTCCTGTGGAAAGCCGGGGTAAGGTTGAGCCCGGCCACCCTACGGAGGAAACTCATTTTGGCCGCTTGTATCCGCAATCTCGTTCTTTCGGTCATTACCCAAAGCTCATGACCATAGGTGAGGATTGGGACGTAGATCGACCGGTAAATCGAGAGCCTGGCTTTCTGGCTCAGCTCCCTCTTCCACACGACAGATCGGCTCAGCGTCCGCATCACTGCAGACGCTGAACCAATCCGCCTGTCGATCTCCTGATCCCTCCTACCCTCACTCGTGAACAAGACCCCGAGATACTTAAACTCCTCCTCTTGAGGTAGGACCTCTCCCCTGACCCGGAGTTGGCAAGCCACCCTTTTAGAAAAGCCACACTTTAGAAAATGGGTTGAAATATAAAATGTTGGTGGAGCTGGGTTCCGACTATCGGCTTGTGGAGCTCTCGGGAGACCTCTGTTTTTCACCTGGTTCTCCCCTCAACGGCAGCTCGGCACACCTCTGTCTGATCACGGCTTCTGTCTGCTGCGCGGGCTGCCGGCATGTGGAGCTCTGGGATGGAAACCTTTCCACCCGGTTCTCCCCAGCGGCAGCTCTGCACATCTCAGATCGCAGCGGCGCTTGACTGCTGTGCGGCTGCCGGCTTGTGGAGCTCTCGGAGATCTCTGTGTTCCACCCGGCTTTACCCAACGGTCAGCCCGGTGTATCTCTGACTCAGAAGCTCTGGTGTTGTGCACAGTTAACTCCGGTTGTAGCTAGGTTGCTACCTCCGTTAGCTTAGCTCCCACCTCCGCGTTAGCTTTGGGTTAGCTTCAGGTTAGCTTGTAGCTAGTTCGACTGGGTGTCGTCAGTTGATCCCAGCCTTACAGCCCCACCTTCAGCTCCACCTCTCTTCCCTTTTGTGGAATTGTCTGGGGTTGACGGAACCTGTGACACGGTCAAAATGGCGGTGGTGGCCACCTCCCATTTGTCCTCAAAAACTGTTATTGGAGTCTATGGAAACCCATTGTCCAATATTTATATGTTGATGGTGTCTACGGAACGATTAGACACTCATTTATATAGTTTATCAACAAAAAAGTAGATTTGGGGGCAACTTGCTCTTTAAGGAAGGCCCCTACCCTTGTTGGGGTTCTGCAGAAACCCTGTAATCTACTGCTGATGAGAATCTGGGTTAGGGTTAGGGTCATGGGGGAGTTTCCAAAATGTCCTGAAAAATCCACAAGAGTTTCTTTCTGCTTTTTTATAGGTTTCACCCTTATAAAAACCATAGAAACATCTACAACATACAGTATAGCACCCCTGGAGGGGGCACCCCCCTGGAGGAGTGCCCTTAAACACTTAAAACTATTATCAGACATATGTTATGATGAATCATTTTGTATTTTCTACCAATTGTTGTGACGTTATTAATATCATGGACTAGAGCTGCACGATATTAACGTTATGAGCATTGATATTGCAAAGTGTGCAGCAGTTATATTGTGGGTCCCCCTGCAGCCTCAGGCTGGACCTGTTCTAACCGAATGTAAGAGGTACCTGATGTGCAGCGATTCACCATTTAAGATCATTGAGATTGATTTCTGAATGTCATTAGCTATTTGACGCATCAACAGCACGCTGCACCGCGATTTGTTCAAGCTGCACATGGGAAAACAGGTTTGACCTGTTGGCCAATAGCATAGGAGGTAAATCTTCACCTGTAGGACCAGGTTAGGCGTCCAACAAAAGTTTGCAGCTAAAATGAGATGCTGTAATGGAGGTTAGGATCAAAACTTTGTAAGAGCGAAATGCAAGACGATGTTGAATGTTTTCAGGGATTTTTGATGTTGTCAAAGTAAGAATAGAATAAAATAGAATAGACTTTATTGATCCCACAGAGGAGAAATTCACTTGCTACAGCAGCACAGACGCTTACAATAAATAAACTAAAAATAAGGTTACAGGTAAACACACAAAGGCAGGAAGCTGTTATTGTAACCTTCAAACACTAAAAACAGCCAATGAAAGTCGCGTTCAGAACTATGCAGCATAAGGAACACTGACATACTAATGTACATCTGGAGGCTAACTATTTTATTGGAGGACAATAATTGGACCCTTAGTCTATCTACACCTATTAACGTGAGGCTGAGGCCTTTCCACGGAGCTAGCTTCCCGCGCTAGCTCTGACGTGTTTCTGATGCTCATTAATCATTCAGGATTTTAAGCATTTAATTCCACGTAAACAGAAGAGTTAAAAAAATTCAACCCCTCTGAGTTGTCATGAAAGTAAACTAGGTCTATTAAACCTAAAATGGTTTTTGAGCCAGGCTGTTAACTTGTTTCTTTAAAGGGTTGCATGGTGGCGCAGTTGTTAGCACTGTTGCCTCGCAGCACGAAGGTCGCAGGTTCGAAACTCGGCTGCGGCCTTTCTGCGTGGAGTTGCGTGTTCTCCCCATGCATGCGTGGGTTTCCTCCGGGTACTCCGGTTTCCCCCACAGATCACAGCATGCCCTATAGGTTATAAATTGTACGTCGCTTTGGATAAAAGCGTCTGCTAAATAAATAAACATAAAGATGAAGTCCATCCTGACTAGACGTGACCTGCACACAGGGATCCATGCATTTGTGATCTCTCGATTGGATGGTGCAAATTCCCTTTTTTATGGAGCCACATCTTCCTCGGTTGTGCGCCTACAGCTGATGCAGAACGCAGCGGCCCGCCTTTTGACGGACACCAGACAGAGGGAGCACATTACTCCTGTTCTGGACCAGCTGCACTGGCTCCTGGTGCGCTACCGCATCCAGTTTAAAATTTTACTTCTTGTTTTTAGGTCACTCTATATCTATGCGCCTCTGTACTTGACTCAGCTGGTTCAGATTTACGTACCTGGTCGAGTTCTTTGATCAGCAGACCGCCGCCTGTTACAGGTCCCAAGTGATCAGGTGAGGGCGCGAGGAGAACGAGCGTTGGCAATCTGTACACCTCGTCTCTGGACCCCCCTCCCCCCCTCTGTGATTTTAAATCATGCCTGAGGGCTTTTATTCCTTAGCTTTTACTTCAGCGTAGCTGGCATTTTACAATGTTTTTGTTTTATTTTTATTGTTTTTATAGTAGTTACTGTACTACTTTTTATTACTTCTTCCCGTGTGTAGATTTTTATGTGATTTTACTGTACAGCGCTTTGGTCGGCCTCAGCCGTGTAGAAATGTGCTTTATAAATAAAATGGAATGGAATGTTTATTTCTGCTGTGAAATTGCCTTTTTTAACATGGGAGTCTATAACTCCGTTTTGGTTCCAGCCCCTAGTGGATGAGGGTGGAACTGCAGTTTTTGCCACTTCCTTGTTGTCGTCATAAAATTGAGACCAAAATGGCCCCTTGGTGGAAACACAGTATTTGTGTCACCACAGATTCATGGCAATCATGTCTGATGATGATAGACGATGCTGATATCCCACCCCGGTGGCAGTAACGAGCTGAGGGTGTTAACAGACCACACACTACAGCTGTGGTGACCAGAAGCGTGTGTGAGATTAGTAGTTCAGTCACACTGGGGTTAAAATTCAGTGAATAACCAACTGAGCGGTAACACCCCCGGTCATCACCAGCCACTCCCCCGGCTGCAGCTCGGTGTCAGGGTTAACTGCTGTCTGTGTTAACCGCTCATGTCATATCTCCATTAACCTCCATTGTGGTTCTGGGGGCGGCCCAGTCCTTGTTTAAGTCTCCCTGGGTGGCAGTCAGTGCTCCAACATTAGCCCCCCATTACAGCTCCCCTGGCTGCCGTTGCCCCGTGTAGGGCAGCCACTGATCTTGCATCAGTGAAAACCGAATGTCTTTGCTGCTGAGTTATGGCCTGCACTCAGGTGGGCCGTGTACACGGCGGGTAGTTGATATTCGCTCTGTTGTTCTCTTGTTTGCAGCAGTGCAGTAGCTCCCGACGTGTAAAGCATGGGTTGTTTTGTGCACGGCGTGCGTTTGGGGTAACCCTCTCTTTTCTCCGTAATGGGAGGCATGAACTCTCGCTCTAAACCCATTTCCAGCCCATCTGAAATACGGCAGCAAATTACCTCCAGCAGCGCCCTGCACACCAGCCCCAATCCACCCCAAATAGAAGTGACAGGACAGCGCAATTTATCGCCATAACCCCTGTACCCCCCAGCACCAGCACCCAGCAGCCCCCACACACGGCAGCCCTGCATGTACAGCCGCCCACAGAGCGACTCCTGGATGCTCTCTGTGTGTGTGTGTGTGTGTGTGTGTGTGTGTGTGTGTGTGTGTGTGTGTGTGTGTGTGTGTGGTCTCTACACTCCACTGTAGGGGCCAACCTCGCTGCTCTGGCCCCCTGCCCTGCCTATTATCTCATTGATTTCCTCCTCTCCTCTTTTCAATTCTCTCCATTTCCACACTGCCGTCCTTTCCATTAGAGGAGCAATTTAACAGAGTGCTGTGACATGGGAGGAAGAGGAGGGGGTGACTACAGGATGGGAAACATAAAGTGAAGAGGGGAGATGTAGAGGAAGAGTCTGGGGGCTGAAAGAGGTGTTGAATTAAAAGAGGGATGAGTAGATGATATTCCGACTCTGAAGGGGAAAAAAACCATTCTCAGTTTTACACAAACCGAATTACCTTAAATCTGACAAAAGCCTCTGACTTCAAGTCTGCCCTCTTCCCTTTTCCCATGTTTCTCTCAGGAGCTTCCTTCAGAGCCGGCTCCGAGCCCCCGACGACAGACACCCACCGTCGTCCCAGCGCTGGGCGGGAAGTGGGATGTGCTGGATCCGAGGCTCCCTGTACCGAGTGTCTGCTAATAAACTGTCCCGCACCAGGACGGCGAACATGTCGATCAACCGAACAGGTCAGTGCGTCCCACGCTTACAGAAAAGTGGTGGAAGTTTGGTCCCATCAGGTTCCAGATGGGCCCTAATCACTGGTTCTGGGGGCAAATCCAGGACAGCCCAAGTGTTTTAGAAGAACACAGCTACATGTGTGTGAAGCGCAGAGCCGACCCAGACCTGGACAATATGTTACGCCTCCCAATCAGAAAGTCGCTGCTAGATAACGAGTTGTTAAAGGGGTGGAGCTGTCGATACCTGCAGCAGATAATCTGTGTTCTAGAAGGTAAATAACCACAGAGGGAGGTATCGATTCTCACCAATTAAACGCTTTCTGAGTGAAAAAGAGGAAATCAAACCACAGCAACACCTTGTTGCAGTTGGTTGAACAACTACAACTGTAGGTCTGAACATAAAGCTTTTGTTTCAAGTGAATCTGAGTAAACACATCTATAACCTACCTGCTGTGTCAGGCTGGCGTTGAGCTCCCTTCGTTAAATCACTAAAGATGGGCCGCTGTGGCTTTTTCTGATGACGATATTGCCGCCATTTTCACGGGCAAAATCTAGATGTTTTCCACCGTATTTACATGTAATTCAATTCAATTCAATTCAAAAATACTTTATTAATCCCAGAGGATTGCTGTAGTAGCTCAGAATAATAATAATAATCAAGTCATCAAAGAGGTGTTGTATATTACAATGGCTGTTGGCAGGAAGGATCTCCAGTAGCGGTCAGTGTTGCAGCCAAACTGAAAAAGCCTCTGACTGAAGACACTCTTCTGTTGTCGGACAGTCTTGTGAAGAGAATGCTCAGGGTTGTCCATAATGTTCGTGATTCTCTGGAGAATCCTTCTTTGCATTATCTCCTCCAGCGGTTCCACAGTCGTCCCCAGAACAGAACCATCCTTTTTTATTAGGCTGTTGAGCCTTTTCAGGTCCCTGCTTCTGATGCTGCTACCCCAACAGACGATGGCTGAAGAGATCACACTCTCAACAACAGACTTGTAGAAGATCTGCAGCATCTTGCTACAGACATTGAAGGACCTAAGCGTCCTCAAGAAGTGCAGTCTGCTGTGTCCCTTCTTGTAAACGGCTTGGCTGTTCTTTCTCCAGTCCAGTCTGTTGTCCAGGTGAACTCCAAGGTATTTGTATTCCTCAACCACCTCCACTTCTTCTCCCATGATGGAAACAGTGTTCGACTCCACCCTGTTTCTTCTGAAGTCTAAAATCATCTCCTTTGTTTTGTTCACGTTCAAGGTCAGATGATTGTTTCCACACCATGCCACAAAGCGCTCCACCAGCTCTGTACTCAGTTTCCTGTCCATCTCTGATACACCCGACAACTGCAGAGTCATCTGAGTATTTCTGTAGATGACAGGTCTCTGATTTGTAATGGAAGTCTGAGGTGTACATGGTGAAAAGGAATGGTGAGAGTACAGTCCCCTGTGGTGCTCCAATGTTACTGATCGCCTGGTTTGATGTGCAGTTCTTCAGCCTCACAAACTGTGGTCTTTTTATCAGGTAGTCTTTAATCCAGGCGATAGTTGAGGCCCCCACCTGTGTCTTTTGGAGTTTCTGGCAAACTACATTTGGCTGGTTTGTGTTAAATGCACTGGAGAAATCAAAGAACATGACCCTCACAGTGCTGCCTGCTTTGTCCAGATGACAGTGGGTTGGTTGAAGCAGCTGGATGATGGCATCTTCAACTCCAACTCCATGGCGATAAGCAAACAGCAGCGGGTCCTGATATGTCCTAGTTTGCTTATTCAGGTGGACCAACAGGAATCTCTCCAGGAACTTCATGATGTGGGATGTAAGGGCAACCGGTCTGTAGTCGTCATTGACTGATGGGCGAGTTTTCTTTGGAACTGGAACAAGGCAGGATGTCTTCCACAGGACTGGAACCTTCTCCTGGGCCAGGCTGAGGTTGAAGAGGTGCTGCAGAATCCCACAGAGCTGCTCTGCACAGGTCTTCAGTACCCTGGGGCTGACACCATCTGGACCTGCAGCCTTGTTCCTGTTCAGTCTCTCCAGCTGCCTCTTCACTTGACTTCTAGAGACAGATAGGTGGGAGGTGGAGGTAAATGGGGCAGCAGCGTCTCCTGACTTGGTTGAAGACAGATTTATAGAACCAGAAGAGCCCATGACTGGGTTAGAGGACAAAAGAGCTGGCTTGTGACAGGAAAATGTTGGATCAGAGGAGGATGGGATGTCTGATTGGCTGGGGACAGGCGAGGAGGATGCTGGGTTTGTTCCTGAACTGAACCTATTGAAGAACTTGTTCAGTTCATTGGCTGTGTCCAGGTTGCCATCTGTGCAATCCTTCCTCTGCTTGAAGCCTGTGATCTTCTTCATCCCTGACCAGACATCTCGGATATTGTTCCTCTGTAGTTTGTTATCCAGCTTCTTCCTGTATGCCTCCTTGCTGTCTCTGATCTTGATCTTCAGTTGCTTCTGTATACTCCTCAATAATTCCCTGTCTACCTCCTTGAAGGCTCCTTTTTTGTCATTAACAGATTCTTCAGTTCACTGGTGATCCAGGGTTTGTTATTAGCGAAGCATCTCACTGTTCTGGTGGGTATGATGTTGTCCACACAGAAGTTTATATAATTAGTGACACATCCAGTCATGGCATTGATGTCCTCTTCATATCCTTGGCAGAGAGTCATCCAATCTGTGGTATCAAAACAACTCTGCAGGGCTTCTTCAGCATCCTGTGACCATTTTCTCACAGTTCTTCTTGTCACAGGTTGCCTCTGAACAAGTGGTTTTTATTCTGAGCAGAGAAAAACAAGATTGAGATCTGATTGTCCCAGAGGAGGTCTTGTTTTGGACATGTATGCATTCTTTACATTTGCATAACACAAATCCAATGTCTTGTTTTCTCTGGTGGGGCAGCTGACAAACTGTTGAAATGTGAAATGTTGGTAGTGTAGCAGAGAGCGAGGCATGCTTGACATCACCAGATTTAGCCACAAAAGCATTGGGGTGCTGGGTTTGTAGCTTAGTGACAACGGAACTGATGGCATCACATGCATTTTCAGCAATGGCTGGTGGTATAAACGGTAGCCAAGACAACACTGGTGAACTCTCTTGGCAAATAATATGGGTGACAACTTACTGCCAAGAGTTCAACATCTGGGCTGCAGAGGTGATGTTTAACTGAAACATGACCTGGATGGCACCATCTGTTGTTGACAAGCACTGCCACTCCACCTCCTTTTCTTTTCCCGCTCCTCTTCAGATCTCTGTCTGCTAGTACAGTCAGGAATCCTGGCAGAGAGGTGCTGGAATTGGGGATATGGTCCTGCAGCCACGTCTCAGTAAAACACATAACACTGCACTGCCGAAACTCTGGCTGAGTCCTTGAAAGGGCTTGGAGTTCCTCCATCTTGTTGGCCTGTGATCTCACATTGCCCATTATGATCGATGGAAGAGATGGTTTGAATTTCCTCTTTCTCTGTCTCCGTTTTGCTCCCGCTCTGCACCCACGCTTCTTGCGTTTTAGCTCATTTGGGATTTGTGGCTTCAGTTGAGGTATTATTTCAGCCTTTCCCATGTTAATCAGCTGCTCCCGATTGATGCTTACGCATCATAACAAATGCTCAAAAAGTGAAAAAATTGCAGTAAAAATCCTCCAAGCTTCACAGCACCAGAAACAGAAAAGTAAAATGTCCAAAAAAATACAGGTTTTCTTGAGAAACTAGAAGAAAAAATGTCCAAGAAAAGGCAAAACTTACATATAGTCAACAGAGCTACTCCAACATGCAGCCACCCAGAGCAGCGCAGTTCCATAATGTCACTAAGACCAGTGAATGTGCAACATTTCTGTAAGAGGAGTAGGGACGGCGCTTGCAAAGGAGTGTATGGGTGTTTCTCAATGTCAAGGCGCCTGGTCTTGCGAGGCGATGTCTTGCGAGGCAAGGCTCCTTGCTTACAAGGACAGTATCCTTCCTTGGTCAAAGAAAACGGTTAAATGGAACAGACTTGCATCACGTGACCACGGCTTCCACGGCGGTCACGTAACGCCACGTGACACGGAGATAACATTATATTTTATATGTATTTGTTTCAATATAAATATATAACGAGACTTTTACTTTTTAAATTGTGTTTATGTATATTAGATTAAAAACATAAGTGAGTTACTACCCGCTAGCCACCGAAGCTGCAACTACTAAGCTACTAACCAACCGTAGATAACTTCTTTGGATCCAAATAAAACATTTTAAATTAGCTGACTTACTTTTAGGGCTGCTCGATTATGGCAAAAATTATAATCACGGTTATTGTGACTGAAAGTGAGATCTCTATTATTTAAGACGATTTTTCAATTAATGTTGATTTTATTTGGTTTTATTCTGTCATAAAATTGCTCAGGGCACAACCAGGACAAAAATAAATAAGAACAAGATGATCACTAAAATAACTCCTGATTCCCAGTATAAAAAGACCAATATACTTATAGCTCATAGTTTATGACCCATGGGCTATAGACCTTGGTTTAACTCATTTAAGTCTAACCAGTACAGACCCAAATACCAATATCTTGCAAATGCTGACAGCAAGAATTATACAGTGGCATTTATAACAAATAAACGCAAATAAATTGATGTTCACAAAATGTTGCATATGTATTTAGTCGTGTCAAGGTACTGTAGGAGAGTGCACTAGCACTGTGTCCTCAGAGAGATTAGATATTATTTATCAGCATGAGGAACTTATTTCTATCTATTTCTACCTTATTTATAAACTATTTATTTACAGGTCCATCAGTTAATGTAATAATTGTCCCAACCACAGCTGCACCCCCCACCCCCCAACCCAGTCTCACAGCAATCAGGGGCAAGCTGCACGTGTGTTTAGGGCGCCGCACGCGCACATTTAGCTGTTTTTTGCGGCTCAGGAGCCCGCAGGTACGGTGTGTGTCGCTCACTCTGGTTAATCCAACATGGAGCCGGCTCTGAGAGCCGTTTCTGTAGCGACCGACACATCACTACATCATTCCCTTTCCTAATGTCCTGAAGAACAGTCTGGACCGCAGGGGGAGTGTTTAGCTAACCTGCAGGAAATGTCAGCGACAGTTATACAGAAAGTAGCTAAGGGTTACCAGAGATGTTTCTGAGGTGTTCACTAGGTACTTTTAAGCTTTAAAAAGTCAAGAAGGGGCCTGAAAAGTTGTTAGAAATAACGTCAAAGTCGCTAAGTTGGCAACACTGTGGGAGGAGCTCTTCATTAGCAACTCAGGGTAGCGCAAGTGGGAGGAGAAAATAATCAGCTTGTTTTGTTTTTATAATCGTTCAAAACTCAGTTCGTAATTGGGATTAAAATTCGATTAATTGCGCAGCCCTACTTACTTTTAAACTTGAAAATGGTCCCCGAAGTAGCTGCCGGCTTCTGATCCGCCGTCCTTTAGAAAATACCACGGTGTATTGTGGGTAATTTTTGACCAAGGCTAGGCTACAAGACACCTCCCATGTATCCTCGCTCAGCTAGCTAAACGGCTAACAAACGAAGAACACACGCCTCGGTAGAACATGAACATTGGAACACGTCTTGGTGGCTCCTGATGACGTATCTCCTAGGCAACCGAGGCGGGGCCAAGACATCAAGGCAAGGTTCCTTGATATTGAGAAACACCCTATGTCTCCTAACCGGTAGGTTGTGGGATCAAGTCCCAATCAGTTTGTCACAGCTGTTGTGTCTTTGAGCAAGACACTTGACCCGCCTCGCCTTCTGGTGGTGGTCGGAGGGACTGGTGGCGTCGGTGTACGGCAGCATTGCTTCCGACCATTGCTCCCATACACTAAGGCAGCTGTAGCTATATTGTAGCTCACCATCACCAGCGTGTGAATGTGTGTCGGTGAATAAATGACTGTGCGCTTTGGGGGGCTGTAGAACCCTAGAATGTGCTATACAAATACTGGTCATTTATTTATTTATTTTACCATTTTTATGGTATTAGTATGATGTCACACTGTTAATTTGCATTCATGGCCTCACCCATCTTGGCACGTGCCCACCCACAGGAGAGAGAGCGGAGATTGTCTGGGTGATGGTGACTTTGCTACATGGTTGAATGCGTTGTGTTAGCCAATCAGAAGCGAGGTGTGTGCATATCAATAATAATAATGAGTAATCCTGCAGTTTTCAGCCCACCTGCAAACTTCTGCATCTCAGAACTGAGCATCGTAGCCTTTTTTGGTAATGACCCGTAAGGCGCTGATTTACTCTAGAGAGTTAACCACACCTTTATATATACCAAACAGGTGAGTAAAAGGAAATGTCAACAATGTTTTAGAGAATGTATTTGGCAGGTAAAAATGCATTAAAGTCAAATAAAATCAACTTTAGTATATAAATATAAAAATCAAACGTCCATCCATCCATTTTCATCCTCTTATCCGGAGTCGGGTCGCGGGGGCAGCAGCCTAAGGCGAGAGGCCCAGACTTCCCTCTCCCCAGCCACTTGGGCCAGCTCCTCCGGGGGAATCCCAGGGTGTTCCCTGGCCAGGTGAGAGACATAGTCCCTCCACCGTGTCCTGGGTCTTCCTTTAGGTCTCCTCCCGGTTGGACGTGCCCAGAAAACCTCACCAGGGAGGCATCCAGGAGGCAACCTGACCAGATGCCCAAAAATCAAATACATGAAAGATAAATAGAAATGGTGCTGAAAACACAAAAGCAACATCTAAAGTGCATTTAGTCTTTTTAGCATTTTATTAATAGTTATGAAACCTTTTAGCAGCAGCATCTTAGCAACAAACCCCTCACTTCTGAGACTTCCTGCCTGGATATCCGCGGATGTGTCTGACTGTAAATCAGCTGAAATGAAGACGTTAGTTGATGCCGATATGCATCACACATCACGCTACACAAGAAATGGTAAATATTGGTCCGATGTGTCGGCTGAATCCTACTTATTCCAACTCTGGACACATTTCAGTTGCTGTTACAGCCCGTTAGAGTTTGGGGCCTAACGCTGTTTTCACCGGCGGGCTCCAGTCTGAGCCAATACAGTGGTGTTTATTCATGTTTGTGGCTGCAGCTCCATCCAGCGCAGGCTGGATTTGCCATCTGAAATAATAAAGTTGTCATCTGTCAGAGTGGCGAGGGGGAGGTCCTGGAGAAGTAGATGGTGCAGATTAAAGCCCGGATCTGCCTCCACCTCCTTCTCTTTTACACGTTCCAGTGCAACTAAACCTTCAGGTGAAATTGAAGAGCTGTGTTCTGGTAAACCCGTGACCGGCATCTCAACACACTCCTTCACCATGTTTCTGCATCCTCCAGAAATGCGCCTCGGGTTACTTTCCAGTGGGAGTTGTGATTTCACATCTTGAGATGGAGCAAGGGCCCCGAGAGCCGTAAAAGTTCCAAATTTAGAGGTTTGATTAAGATTCTCTGCTCAAGCCTCTTAGCCTGTTTCTCCACCCTTCTAATAACACCCACCAGCCCTCACTCACACCTGTCCGGTGTTTCAGCGTGGACCAGATCCGTGTTTATTATGTGCTCAGACTCCGAATTAGACGTCACGATTCACCTTGGCACCCAAGTCCCAAACCACCGCATTATAAATAACCTGTTGCATATCAAGATCTTATTGCATCTGTCTGTACACACACACACACACACACACACACACGCAAGCATGCATGTGCGTGCGCACACACACACACATGCACACACACACACACGCAAACACACACCAAACCTCTAAAACCAAGTTTAAGGGTGCTTAGCGTTGTGTGGACCAGTAAAATGTCCACACAGCACAGGTAAAAGTAAACATTTGTCCACTTAAACATATAAAGACAAGTACACAAGTTTTTTTCTACCTAATGCATGTAAAGTGATTTAGTTTCAACTATAATAAGAAGAGGAGATTGAAGTTATTTTTGACATTTTTAAACACACACAAGCATCTTAATCATCATGCTGAACTTTGTACTTGTAATATTAACCTAACATTTCACAGCATAGATAAGTTTGGAGGAGTTTATTCACCTGCACTAATGTGTCAAGTTGTAAATTACTAATCATGCTGATTTTTCAGACTTCAGTTCATCAGTTCAATAAACAAACAAATATAAAATATGATATTTATTGTTGAATACTATTATCCAGAGCAGAGGTTCGCAACCCGCAGCTCCAGGGCCACTTTGGTTCTCAATATTTTTAGTCCATTTATAAGAAGAGTGTGGTTTTAAAGTAGATGATGAAGTTGTCCTGAATAAAATAAAAGCATCTCACTTGTTGCCTTCTTCAGGGAGGTCCTCCAGCCCACAAACGTCTCCAGCTTTGAGTCGTCACATTGCCAGGTAACACCGCTTTTTATTCACTTTATCTCACATAACGTCCTAATTCTGCTCATATAATCTCCTAAAGTTTTTATTATTATTATTATTACTACTATTAATAGTATTATTATCATCATTATCATTGCCATTATTATTGTCATTGTCATTATTATTATTATTATCATTATTATCATTATTATCATCATTATCATCATTCTTATTATTATTATTATTGTTATTATTATTATCATTATTATCATTATTATTATTATTATCATCATTATTATTATCATTATTAGTATTAGCATTATTATTATTATTATTATTATCATAATCATCAGTTATGTATGTAGGTCATCCTGGTTCTGTTTAAATCACAGTAGCTTCATGAAATCAAATCCAGCCAAGATGTTTGCATTTGATCCTCCCCCCCCCACCCCCCACCCCCCCACCCCCAGTATTAAGTGCCTTTCATCGCCTCGGCTAAGGACTGTAAAAGTAATCCTTTAAAATTAGTATATGGTGAACACCTTTACCCAGAAACACACATGTGGGTCAGAGCTGAAGCCGACTCTGTCCTGCAGAGATTCTCTTCTCTAGTTGCCTCCTACTGGTCATTTATTGTGGATATCGGTGGTTTGTCTGCAGCCGTGCCGTGCAGCGGAGCATTGCCATCATCAGGCATGCTCGCCAGAAGAAGCAGCAGAAGCAGTACTGCATGTATTACAACCGCTTTGGCAAATGTAACCGTGGCACAAGCTGTCCCTTCGTACACGACCCGGACAAAGTGGCCGTCTGCACCAGGTAGCACACAAAATACAGTCATCCGAACCACAAAGGAAGAACAGCATCAGTAGCAATGTGTGTCTACATATGAAGCTGAATAAAACCCATTAAAGTATCAAATATAAAAAAGACTTAAACAATTTGAGCTGAAAGGAGGCTCGATCATATAAATCCTCCAGATTGATTCTTACTTTTGTTTCCGTTTGATAATTAGCCTTTATAAAAATAAGTGAAGCTTTATTTGAAACTTTGTCCTAGTCTGTCTCAAAACCTACATTTTGTGTGAAAAACGTTCCTGCAGGACTTGAATCTTTTAGAGGCAGAACCCAGACCTGCAGAAGGGGTGTGAAAGCAGCAGCAGGCATTCATGATGAATCATTTTCTGGTTTCTCTGAAATCGTAGCAAGATCTGGAGGGTGTGTGTGTGTGTGTTTCTTTCTTTCTGGGCTGAAATATCAGAACATGTTTTTGGGTTTCTTCTTCTTCAGGTTTCTGAGGGGAACGTGCAGACAGGCCGATGGCACCTGCCCATTCTCCCATAAGGTTGCCAAGGAGAAGGTAAGGTATACGCTGATGGACATCTTAGTGTTTTATGGGTTTTCATGGCAAAGGCCAGGCTTTGGTGCGCCTGGAAGGTATAAGATGACACACCATTGGATACGGACGTCGTGGATCGTGTTTGGGATCTTGGCACGACTCCTGTTACCGCGGAGAAGACGGAGTGAGGGAGACTGGAGCTGATGGTTAATTAAAGCGTTTTTGGGAAGAAAAACCAAGGCAGGTTGTCTGTGAACGCCCTCCATCACAACCATGTTCCAGTGTCTACAGCAGGATGTTGGGGGGGGGGTCAAAGGTTATGTCTAAACTATGAGTCCATCATTCTAACGAGACAAAGGTTATGTACAAGTAAATGTCTAAGATGGCTGCTAATCATCTCAGGAGTGGACCTGCTGGAGATACACCCCGAGGTCAGAGGTCAACGCTCAGAGAAACAACCAAAACATGGCTTCCAGGTTTTTCGTACATAGGCGGCTGAAACATAGGCATACATACACGGCTGAAATCCCACCGCCACGCCTGCAAGATCCAAAGTTTTTTTTTTTTTTGTTTTTTGTTTTTGGCGCCGTTTCCCAAAGAAGCAGCGGGAACTACTATGTTGTCTCTTGTGATCACAGCCGGCGGCAGCAAGGAGGAGCAGGCAGGCCAAGGTGAAGTTACAGCATAAGTTACTGAGTTTAAAATTAGAAAGGTAGCAGTGGATATAATGCTTTGTGGTTTACATGTTTCAGTAGCATTAAGATAAACGAGTGTTGACGATCTTGACAGGGTTTCCTCCCCCCACCAGGCTAAGCATCACTTATTCATGTAAAATGAATAAAACTTTAACAGCATCTTATACTGTATTACGGCGTGAGCGCAACAGCAACAACTTAAGATCAATGTGTGAGCAGCCTGAGAGGTCGGGTGTTTTCATCTGAACCCTTAAAACCTCCAGCAGGCTACGCTGCACTATTGACGTGTTAGCGTGTGGCGCTAACAACCTAGCGACGTGACATGTCTCGGAGAAAGCGTAAAAACACGTTGGATGCTTCTTCTGAAGCGGGAAAATAACGCTTCTTCTTAAGCAGAGCACGATGTCGCCTCGGCTCGTTCGCGGCCGAGCCGGTACCGGGCTGAGCTCCATAACTGACCCAGCACAGCCACTGGGTCGTTGGAGCTGCCCCGTGACTGCCTGATGGAAAACCAGCGGGTTTCATCAGACTCGTAGTTTCTTGTTTTTGCTGGGCACCCCGTGTATTTCACCGCTCCCTCCTGCAGTCTTCCCATATTAACATTTAAAATTATTCTGTAAATTCGTGTATCAATAGAAAAAATCTCTGCGTCTGCCAGCTGCAGTAAATGTAGTCTCCAAATAATAAATAAGAGGTGCATTCATCTGTGGATCTCCTTTGATCTGCATTAGTGATATTCTCAGCACCAGAACTGTGCCACAGCCGGAAAAATTCCTAGGGGAAACACTGGCTTCCATCTCGTCTACTGGCCTCAGTTAGTAGACTTAAGGTGAAAGTTCACAGCAGAAGACTTAGAAAAAGACTGAGCGGCGAGTTTTGCACGTTTGCTGAAGAACACCTCTTCTCTGAGGGATTCTGTGGTGATGCGTCCACCAGGAGTAGTGGATACCGGAGTAGTGGGTTCTAATGTGGGACCGTCTGGAGTTTGGACCAAAGTGGGTCATTAAACAGGACTAGGATCCAAACACAACAGCAGAGCTACGGGACCATCAGGTTCAGAGAACAAGGAGTGGTTTTCTGCTGAAGGAGGTTCTGTTGGCTAAGAGTTTGCATGTTTTAAGACGCTGGTCTTACAAGTGACCAGGACTGAGAAGAACGGATCCGTGTAGAAACTCAGATCATTTAGCCTCATCAGAAGGGAATCCTAGTCTGGACACACAGGCGTAGAACAGGTGCCCATCTGCCTCACCCTGCTCACACACACTCCCACAATGCACCTGTGTTCGCTGTCACCCCACTGCCTGTTGGTGCTGAGAGCCCAGCTGTCCGTTTGCATCCTCCAAACCTCTGGCCCCACCCTCCGAGGATGCATCCTCTCTTGTTTCATGTAGGGCCCTTAAGGTGTGTGTGTGTGGTGGTGGTGGTGGTGGTGGTGGGGGGGGGGGGGGGGGGGGGGGGGTTATACAAGTGTAGTTATGCAAGCCCAGACCCTGAGTCCTGCCCTCTTTCTGGACTGCCACAAATACTTTGAAACCAAATACACACAGGTCTCACACACACACACACACACACACTCGCCCACAACCATCCACTCTGGCCCTGGTCTGCACACACATCCAGAGCACATAAACACATCATGAGAGCTGGACGAGCTGCAGCCTGGATAAATATTTCTGTAGCAGTTAATTAGAACAGATCCCATCTCAGGGAGGGGGAGGAGCCTATTCCACGTCTGCCCCCCCCCCCCCCCCCCCCCACACACACACACACACACACACACACACACCATCTTTCCTCACCCTGCTCCCTCAGAGGTATATTTAGAGTGGCCTCCAGCAGGCTCAGCCCTCCGTGTCAAACAGTACATCTCTACATGCGTGCACACACACACACACACACACACACACTTTCCCGCTGCTCCTGTCAGCTGCAATTAAGGTAATTTAGCTGCTCAGTGTGACAGATCGCTGGGCTCGTGGGACTCATCCGCACAGAACCGGACGTTGGTCTCGTTTCAGAACAACATGTATGTTTACAGAGTGGTGTAATCTCATCCTCATAAAGCACCTTTTAACTGATGGCTGCCGCCCACCTCTCTGAGTCAAACACTTTAGTGTCAGAAGATGCTCACCGTCGTCCTCTCGCCTTTGGTTCAGATGGCTCACCTGTGATTTCCTGTGTGTCTTGCAGATGCCGGTGTGTTTGTACTTCCTGAAGGGAATCTGTAACAATAGCGAGTGTCCCTACAGCCACGTTTACGTCTCTCACAAAGCGGAAGTGTGTCGGGACTTTGTCAGAGGCTACTGTCCAGAGGGAGAGAAGGTAACACACACCAGAGGTGTTTGTTTGTTTTGAAGCTGAACAGGATCTGGGATCTGAAGATGACTTTGGAGGTCTCTGAACCAGTGTGTGTGTTCACAATGAGCTAGTGGTGATCGTTCATGCCATACAAATGATCTGCTGGGATCTGTTGACATTCGGGGTGTGTACACATTTCACTTCCGGCTATTTTTGGTAAATGATGAAAGGTCTGCATTTGAGCAGCACTTTATTCTTGCATTATCCAAGTCCTACAAAGCACATTAACTCATTCACTGCCAATGACGACTAAAGTCATCATTTGCATTATTTTACTGTTTGGGCGTCAGACGAGCCCCCGCACCGTGAGAACAAACATGTCAGCTCCAAAGCCGATCTTCATCTGCGTACGTCACACGTCACGTGATCAGGAAGCAGAACATCCATGTGTTAGGAGATCGTTTTGGGCCGCTCCTGTAAAAAAAGTGAGGCACGAACCGGAAAAGCTTCTGCCGATCACAGTTCAACAACGGATTATGAAAGAACGGATAACGCTCGAAACGCGCAGATTCTTCCTGATGTAAGAGGTGAGTCTCCGCTTTGTTTTGGTTGTTTTGGTGTCGACATCATCCTAGCGTGCAACGTTCTGTCACTCTTAAAAAACAGTCAAAACGGTGAGAAACGCTGGCAGCGAATGGCTTTAGCGATCAGGAAACGGCTGGCAGTGAATGAGTTAAACTACAGTCAGCCATTCACCCACTCACACATCCATGTGCATGTTGTGGAGTGTGTTTGGTAAAGTTTCTGTGGCAGCCATCTTGAATATGGCTGACTCCAAAGGTTCATTAGCAGGGCTGCCAACATTTGCGATATTTCAGTGGGGGACTGTTGGCTTTGGGGTGTGTGGGGGTGAGGTGGGGGTGTTGGGGGACTATTGCTTTCTTTGCGTGGGAGATTGGAGGTGTGGCTTGAGAGCGTGAACAGTCAGATGTGTGTGTCACGGTCATTGCAGGAGAGTTGGCAGCTCTGCATTAGTTGCAAACGAAAATCCAATCATTTCCTTCACAAAATATTTTTCTAAAACTTTTGAAAACTTCACCAAGTGACACAAAAACGGACTTTACTTTAACGTCCCACAATTTCCATTGTGGGAAAAGATCCAACTTATGAAAGCTGAGGAGTCGACCTTTACTTTAGCCAAGTCAGTTTGTCCATAAAGCACATTTAAGGCATCCAGAGTTGATCAGTGATGCCATCCATTCATCCGTCTTCAGCCGCTTATCCAGGGTTGGGTCATGGGGCAGCAACCTAAGCCGAAACGCTGAGACTTCCCTCTCCCCAGCTTCTTGGACCAGCTCCTCCGGGGGAATCCCAAGGTGTTCCCTGGCCAGCCGAGAGACATAGTCCCTCCAGCATGTCCTGGGTCTTCCCTTGGGTCTCCTCCCAGCTGGATGTGCCCGGAAAACCTCACCAGGGAGGCATCCAGCAGATATCCTGACCAGATGCCCGGGCCACCTCAACTGGCTCCTCTCGATGTGGAGGAGCAGCGGGTCTACTCCGAGCCCCTCCCAAATGACAGAGCTTCTCATCCTCTAAGGAAGAGCCCAGACACCCTGCGGAGAAAACTAATTTCGGCCACTTGTATCCGCGATCTCGTTCTTTCTGTCACTACCCAAAGCTCGTGACCATAGGTGAGGGTAGGAACGTAGATCGACTGGTAAATCGAGAGCTTTGCCTTCCGGCTCCGATCTCTCTTCACGACAACAGACCAGTACAAAGCCCTGATCACTGCAGATGCAGCACCAGTCCGCCTATCGACCTCACGCTCTGTCTTTCCCTCACTCGTGAACAAAACTCCAAGATACTTCACTCCTCCTCTTGAGACTGGACCTCATCCCTGACCCGGACAAGGTATTCTACCCTTTTCTGACCCAAGACCATGGCCTCGGATTTAGAGGAGCTGATTCTCATCCCAGCTGCTTCACACTCTGCTGCGAAACGCTCCAGCAAAAGCCGGAGATCACGTTCTGATGAAGCCAACAGGACCACATCATCTGCAAAAGCAGAGACCTGATCCTCAGGCCACCAAAACGGATGGCCTTCACCACCTTGGCTGCTCCTAGAAATCCTGTCCATAAAGGTTATGAACAGAATTGGTGATTAAGGGCAGTCTTGGTGGAGTCCAATTCTCACCAGAAACTAGCTCGACATACTGCTGGCAATGCAGACCAAGCTCTGACACCGGTCATACAGGGACCTAACAGCCCGTATCAGAGGGCCTGGTACCCCATACTCCTGGAGTACCCCCCACAGGTCCCCTCGAGGGACGTGGTCGAACGCCTTGTAGACTGGTTGGGCGAACTCCCACGCACCCTCCAGGATCCTCCTAAGGGTATAGAGCTGGTCCAGTGTTCCACGGCCAGGACAAAACCACATTGTTCTTCCTGAATCTGAGGTTCGACAATCCGACGGACCCTTCTCTCCAGAACCCCTGAATAGACCTTACCAGGGAGGCTCAGAAGTGTGATCCCCCTGTAGTTGGAACACACCCTGCGGTCCCCCTTTTTAAATAGCCAATCCAGTGGGACTGTCCCCGATGTCCACATGATACTGCAAAGTTACGTCCACCCCCAGGGCCTTGCCACTGAAGGCTTATTCATTCTTCTCCGCCTGCGTCAGTGCTGAGACACGCAACGCCATTACCCGTCCTTGCGTAGGGCTCCGGCAGGCACGCAAGTACGTATGGAGTCGAGCCCACTTTTTTAAACATCCGTCTCGTTCGTTGTGATTGATCAGGATGCCGCTGTTGTTTACAGCGCCGCCATTGCGCCCTCAAAAGCATAAAGAGAGCCGAGGATAACTAGCGGCAGACACGGCGAAGCTTGAAGAATACCTCGCGAAAAAACTCTAAAAATATGAACGTTTAATTCCCGTGACTGGAGGAGTGAAAAGATACGCAGCAAGCGTTTTATTTGTGGACGGAAATGACCGGAAACGTGGGTTTAGAGGTGGGGCACGCATGAAGAGGTGGAGGAGAATGAGAGACAAATATGTTTGTGTTAAAAAGTCTCTTATATACAAAAAACACAATATAAACACACTATCTTGGACCGATACATGACAGGATACCACAGAACAGCGCTACGCCCTCTGCTGTCCTGCCGGGGAATTGCTTTGCAACACTCTCCAGGAGACGGAGAAGCATGAGAGCAAAATGCTTCTGTCAATCCGTGCGTGTCTGTCCCTTGCGGAGCTGACGGAGAAGCATGAACCAGGCTTCAGAAGTTTTTCGACCACCTCTGTGACCTCTGCCCCAGAGATTGGAGAGTCCTATTCAAAGTCCTCAGACTCTGCTTCCTCAGTGGACGACGTGCCAATGGGAGTATTGAGGTATTCAAAGTATTCCACCCACCGTTCCACAACGTCCCAAGTAGAGGTCAGCAGCACATCGTCACCACTGTAAACAGAGTTGGTAGTGTGTTGCTTTCCCCTCCTGAGACACCGGATGATTGACCAGAATCTCCTCGAAGCCATGCAGAAGTCTTGCTCCATGGTCTAACTGAACTCCTCCCATGCCCAGGTTTTTCCTCCACAACCACCTGAGCTGCATTCAGCTTGGACTGCTGGTACCCATCAGCTGCTTCTGGAGTTCCACAAGCCAAAAAGACTCGATAGGACTCTTTCTTCAGCTTGACAGCAAACCTAACCACTGGTGTCCACCAGCGGGTTTAGGGGTTGCCACCACGCCATAGCCTGGGCTGCCAGACTCTTCTGTTTAATTCTGCACAGAGAAAGGTTCTGGGAACTCTCCTATTCAAATAACCCCACCCCCTTAGACTTCTAACCATTCCAATCAGCGCTGAGTAGCGTACGCCACACACCACAACGCCGAGTTTGTCATAAACATGGCCACTGAAGCGGAGTTTGCTGCAGCTCTTTCCTCTGTTCTAAACTTGAATGTCTTTAAAACCACCAGTAGAAGTGCTAAAATCCTTTCTTGGCACCATTGCCAGACGCCATTTTTTACTAAAGCTGAAAAACCACAGTGTTGCATGGTACAGTCGGCATTTCCGCCTTTTTTCTGATTGGTTATTTTTGAGCTGCCTAGTCCCGCCTCTCATGTGCCTCTCTGTCTGTGAGTAACCAGACTCTTTCTCTGTGCAGAATTAAACAGAGGATGAGTCTGGCAGGCCAGGCTAGCACCGACAACCCTGCAACCACAGCTTCGGTCAGCCACCTCAACAATAGAAGCACGGAACATGGCCCACTCAGACTTAATTCCCCCGCTTCCCTCGGGACGTGTTCAAAATTCTGTCAGAGGTGGGAATTGAAGCTCCTTCTGACAGAAGACTTCGCCAGACATGCCTTGCATGCCCTCACGATGTGTTTGGGCCTGCCAGGTCTGACCGGCTTCCTCCCCCACCATCGACGCCAACTTACCACCAGGTAGTGTTCAGCTGACAGCTCCGCCCTCTCTTCACCCAAATGTCCAAGACATGAGGCCGCAGATCAGATGAAATGATGACAAAGTCAATCATCGAACTGCGGCCTAAGGTATCCTGGTGCCAAGAGCACATATGGACACCTTTATGCTTGAACATGGTGTTCGCTATGGATAATCTATTACGTGCACAGAAATCCAATAACAAAACACTGCTCCGATTCAGATCAAGGGGGCCATTCCTCCCAACTACACCTCTCTAGGTCTCACTGCCCACATGCACGTTAAAGTCCTCCAGCAGAACGAGGGAATCACTGGAAGGACCGCTCTCCAACACCCCCTCCAAGCACTCCAAAAATTATGATCAAAGTGATGCACGCAACATAAAGCGGTTACGGATAGCGTAGAGTTAACTTTACAAGAAGATAAAAACATGAAGCAGTTAAAATAGCTGAGAAACAGTACTTACAGAATGTTTCAAAAGAAAAAGATTAAAAAAGGTAAAAACAAACATGTTTTTGAGTTTGAGCTGAAGAGACACAAAAAAGCAGAGATTGTTCTCGAACGAAAACATTCACTGGATATTTTATCACAGTAAAAAAGAAAACGACTCCAGATACAAATGTGGACTAAATAGTTGGTAGCCTTTAGTCAATGAAAGAAAAACCCACAATGATCACAGAAATAACAAATCTGACAAAAGTCAAATTCAATTAAATAAATCAGACATTGTTTTTCAACCAGGCTTCAACAGAGTTATTAAAAACAATAACCTCATGGACCAGGCCTGGACAAAAATGATGGTACGGCTAACTTAATATTTTGTTGCACAATCATTTGAGGCGATTGCTGCAATCAAACGATTCCTGTATTTCTCGTTTTACATGATTATATTTTATTACTGGCTTTGCATGTTTTATATGATTATTAGGGCTGGGGCTTGATTAAAAAATGTTACCTAATTAATTAGAGGCTTTGTAATTAATTAATCTAAATTAATCGCATTTTAATCATTCAGGAAAATGTGCTCTCAAAGCAAAATTTTAATAAAAATTATGAGACAGAGTATCAAACATTAGACATGGTTATTACTTTAAACTAAAGCTTTTAATAAAAAAATACATTTTAATTATTCAAGTGTCACTGTGTGATATGAAACAAAACCCAAATCAACTAAAATTTATAATTACAAATAGGGGGGGGGGGGCTCTGCCCCGGGGGTGTTGGTCGACTGTAGCTTCCTGGGCACTCTACAGGTAGTGTTAAGTGGAGGTGGGGGTCTCTGCTCCCCCTCCTCTGAGCGCCCTGACTTAGTGTGGAAGACCTGATGCTGCCGGGGCAGACGGCTCTGGACTCAGCCGAATGAAAATTTTTACTGATGTGATTGTGTGTGTGTGTGTGTGTGCGTGCGTGCGTGTGTGT